AGCAAGAAAGACTATCATGTCCAGGGCACTTACAATTAGTGCATATACTAACTCTACTTGAAGACTGCTCTGACGCATATTTGGAGATATTATTTTCTGTACAGGAATCTCTCATTTTAGCTTGCTGGTTGTCTTGGAGAGTAACTACTTCTGATGAACTATCTACCTGACTACCAACTGTGGTGTTCTCATCCAGAAAGTTGGTGCTGGCCGCAGTCTCAAGTTTCTGGGCATTGATGGCATTTTTCTTAGCAGTAATAATTTTAATCCTAGCCTCCCTCAAGGCATTTAATGCAAATTTGAAACTATGGTCAGATGCCATCCCCTCTTCCGCACATTTTACGGCTTCCTGATACAAAAGATTGTACTGTGAGTTCTTCCCCTCTCGAGAATTACCATTCATCTCAACAGATGGCATTGCATCCAACATAGCCTCATCCTTAGCGTTTCTTGTCCATCGCTTCAAAATATAATGTTGTGGAAGCAGGAAGATATTTGTTGCTTTGACCACAGCAATGACATGTCTGCAGAGGATCCCTTCAAACTCAAACATCTTGCAACTACAACTAGCCATCTGGTCAGCTATATTTAATCCTACAAAGTACACTTTATGTTCTTCATCAAATCTTGCTACCTCATATGTCCTAGATAATCCTTCATCTTGACTTAAATTCACAGCAAGCACAAGAGATTCATAAATTTCATCTTGGAAAACTGAGAACAATTTTCTTGTGTAAACTTCTGCTGCTTGTTTTTCCATAGGAAGTGGTGTCTTTAAAACTGGTTTAGTGTAAAAAGTTTCAAACTCCGCCCTAGCTTCCTTCTCATATCGATCATCAAGAGCCTTCTCATATTGCTCTGCAAAATCTTGTAATGTGGTCCCAGCGCTTACATAGCCATCAAATAGTGAGTTAACACTTTTGCTTCGCTGCGTTGTATACATGGCAGCAAAGAATGTGTCTCTCACATATGTTGATACCCATAACTTGCGATCAATATAAAGGGATTGAAGCCATTCATTTCCTCTAAGATTGTACTTGTCAAGAAGCAAGTGCCAAGCAGATTCAAATTCTTCAGGTGTCTCACTCTTGTTAATGCATTTGTCAAACTCCACTTGAAATGTCTTTGGAAGTGCACTGCATACGTGACCCATTTCCTTGGGCATTTTGCTCAGGATGTGCCATTTGCAATATCGATGGCTTGACTGTGGGAAAACACTTTCTACTGCTCTGCTAATGGCAGAATCATAATCAGTTATAAGTAAACCTGGCTGCCGCCCAGACATTGCCTCAAGCCAAGTTGTGAAAAGCCAAATGAATGTAGATTCAGTTTCATCTGCTAGCAATGCACAACCAAACAACACTGACTGTCTATGATGATTTACCCCAATGAAAGGTGCAAATGGCATTTTATATTGATTCACTTGATAAGTAGTGTCAAAAGATACAACATCAGAGAAACAATTATAGGCAATTCTTGATCTTGTGTCAACCCAAAAAACACTACTTAGCCGATCTTCCTCATCAACCTGTATAGCATAATAAAATGCAGGATCACGAGCTTGCATAACTTTAAAGAACCCAAGCAAACTTTGTGCATCTACCCCAAAATTGCTTAACCTTCCTTTTCCAATAAAGTTAATATTATTATGTGTGGCAAATCCCAATTCACCAAAACTGTTACATTCTTCAGTCAACACATTTACAGAGGCATTCAAGCCCACTCCCGAGGAACTGATAGAGCCACTCAAACTTTTCTTTGGATCATACTCTTCCTTATGTGACCGAAGAAAATGCCTCATTGCAGGAGTCACAAGCTCATGGTTATGACTTTTCTCTAACTTAGCTACATACCACTTTCCATTATCCCGTCTCCTGACAGTCATCAACGCCTTGCAACCCTCCCTCGTAATAGGCCTAGCACGCCTCTTCTTTGTATCATCCCCAGAATCCACATTTCTTGAACGTTTCTCCCGGCGAAACCCTTCTTTGGAACAACAAAATTCTCTAGATATAATCGAATTATCCTTCTTTGATCGATAATAAGAATTCACACGAATACTAAAACCTGTCTGCTTAGCATATGCATTGTAGAAATTCCTAGCATCATCCTCAGAAGTAAACTCCATCCCTAGTGTAGGCTCTAAAGCTCCACCTACTAAGTATTGAGAAAACTCAAGATTCAAATGTTCATCCTCCTTTCCAGGGTCATCCAAAACAATTGGATTTGCATCATCCTTTACCACACAACACCCATCACCTTCATCTTCCAATGCCACATATGAGTTAACTATTTCTTTACCTTCACTAGAAGGCTCTTCTTCCATTTTATTTTCTCAATCCTGTCAAATAAATTATTCGGCACCCTTTAATTCTCATGTGTTACAAACGAAGTTAGACAAAAGTTTTTAAACTCATTAATCAATAACTATAGTTTGTTTCATGGCCACTTAGCTGTGAATTTATCGATTTCCAATTTTTTTTTCCCTTAAGTTTGAATATGAAGTTGATTGAACAGTGAATTACACAAAGTGAGATAAAACTTCCTAGTCCCACAAACCCCACTCTCCGGATCCCAAGATTCAATCCTATTACTTTCAAGCTGAAATCTAAGTTCAAGCTGTTCGATATTCCTTGGACAGTGACAAATTTCATTATCTAATTGGAACATAAACCTTACAGGTTCAACATTCTAAATTCCCCTCGAAACATAACTTTATAAGAAAATCAAGGACAAGCATTCTGCAAACTAGCATAGCAAAGAACAGTCATGGCAAAGCAAACTGATTCGGGCATTGAGGAGCAATTAGTAAAGACAAAGTTAACGCACAGATTGTTTATACTTGAAACAAACAAAGCCCTGAATACAAAAACCCAGAAATCTAAAGGCTGTATCTTAGTTCTTTAATTGGTATTTTCACTTTGGCTTTGAGATTCATTTCGGGTAAATAAATTAGATGAAGTCTTTTCTTTTTTTTTTTTGGTTCTGGGTTTACCTGTTTAAGGAGGGACGACGACGCCGCCGCGGACCGGGAAAACTGAGAGGACGCAAATTACCGTCTGCTTTCGCTGTTTTCATAGAGGTATTCATGTGTGTATTACTGTCCGTTGGATGGGTGATTTTGTGATCTGACGGTTGATGTTTAGTTTCTAGGCGGCACTTATGTCCTGCGAGCAGAAACCTCTTATACTTGTAAACAAATAAATAAATTATAAGAATAACGTGCAAAAAATAAATAAAGAGAAGGAGAAAAAGATAGAATAAGAGCTATTTTAATAAATAAATAAACAAGCAGTGAAAAGTTACATGAGTAAATTACAATAATAACGTTTTACTGAATTATTGGTGATGTTTTGAATTCAATACCATTCAAAGCTCAAATTGTGAAAAATAATAATAATAATAATTAAAAACTTTTCTTAAACTATTTAAAAATTTTTAAGTAAATTTTTATATTTTTATTATGTTTAATTAAATTTTTTTATATATTTTTAAATCAAATAAACTCTTATAGTTTTATTTAAACAATTTAAACTTAATTTTAAAAATTATTATATTTTATAAAAATTTTATAATAACTTTTAAGTTCAAAAAAACTCAAGTCAAATAAATTTTGAATCAAACAAGTCTTTATAATTAACTATTCTCTTAATCAAAATGTCATTTGTCATTATATATTATATGATGCTGATATGGTATATTAACATATCATAATTAATAATAATGTAATATGTTAATATATTATAATTAATGATGATGTGATATATTAATTTAACATGATAATATGATCATATAATATTTTTTATTATTCATGTCCATGTCATGTCAATGTCATATCGATATAAAATGATAAACAATATTTTTATTATTAAAAATTAATCAATTATTAATTATAAGAACTTATCTGATTCAAAATAAAATTAAATGAACTTAATTGAATGAAAAAAAAATTATTTAAATTTTTTAAATAATTTAAGAGTTTATTTAAGTATTATATAAAAAAAGTGTATATATATATATAGGAATACAAACAAGTAAAAGTCAGAATCCTATTAACAAGTACAAGTCTTGCAATAATTTTTTTATTTTTTTATTATATTTAATTAAAATTTTATATTTTTATTTGAAATAAAATAGATTTTTATGATTAAGCGTTAACTCATTATTATTAATTAAAATGTCATTATTATGTAACATAATGCTAGCATAATATATAGTATATTATAGTAAATAATGACAAGACATGATAACAAGGTTATATAGTATTTTTTCCTTCTACCTCAACATCACATGACATAAAAACAATCAGTGACGTTTGCACTAATAATAGTTAATTAACCATTAATTATAAGAACCTATTCTATACAAAATAAAAATAAATAATTTTGATTAAATGTAATAAAAAAATAAAAATTTATTTAAAATTTTTTAAATAATTAAGAGACTCTTTAAAACATTATACCTAATAATCTTTTCAATTCTTTTTTCTAAAACAAGCTCGATTAAATTGAATTGTAAATACGAAAAATTAATTTTAGATCATTCCAAAATGCAGACAGCATATTTGTTAGGGATCAAAAACAAGGAACTTCCATTCATATCCTCCCAAATCTTCCAATCCCGGCAACTGATTATTTACTAAAAATCTTTCCAATATGAGATATATCTCATTCCAATATGAGATTAACAAGAGATAAGATGTAAAAGAGGTAAGAGTTGTCTTGGACTTAAATCACCTTAAATCACCGCCGTCAATTTCGATGGGTCCTACAACGATGGAACACACTAATAACCTCGACAGGATCACGAATATCCAATCAAGTGCTTATAACTGGACGGAGCAGAGCCGCTTGACATGACAACGATCTTTCAGTTCCCAGACCCTTTTTGTCGCTTACCCAATGAAAAAAAATCTCACTGGAAGTACGATCTTCTCCTCCCGCTGCTAAAGCCGCTACTTCAAATCCACCACTCAAATCACTCCACGTCACCAAATTAAAGTCCTGTCTCCATAGAGCCAATGAAAGCTCGTGAAGTGTACGGTGGGTTAACCGAAAAAAGTCTATGATTTTATCCAATCCAAACTCTTTAATCAGTGATCTTATGGTAAAATAGAACATCATCATCCCAGCTTTTCCACGTCATAGAAATAAAATCTTTTTCCACGTGGATCAATAACATCTTGCCACGTTGTAATCAAGGACAATGAGAAATTGTTGGGACGGTATCTGATTAGAACTCCATGCATATAATAATTCTCGTGAATCCATTATTTTCTTCTTCATTCGATACCGTCACTCTGGTCTCTTCACAAAGTTTAAAGAGCGAGAGAGATACAGAGAGATGGCTACGTGGCGATTTTATACGACTTCGGGCGGAGTGGAGGCGGTTTCGAGCTGCAATGCGGTGGCTAGATTCATCGACTTCAGCCGCGGAAGAAATGGCGGCGTTGGCAGTGCTGGTGGTGGAAGCGGAAACAAAGCGAAGCAGTTGATGTTGATGAGGAAGTGGCAAGTTAGGCCGATGAGGAGGTCGTTTTCGGTGAGGAATGTTTCGAGTGAACCGCAACAGAAGGTGAAAGATCCAGTAGCTGAACAAGAAGGTTTGATCTTCTTTGTAGTATTTATATTTAAATGCAGATGCTCTGCTTTTTTGTTCTTTGTATTTCGTTTTTAAATTTTTTTTATGTTTATTTGATTGGTGCTTAATGCTTTGGAAACTTGTGGATTTTGTTTTGAAGTTAATGTTTGATGTTAATGCTTCTGTTACATTCCCTTCTTTTTTTCTTAAAAAAAAAGAAATTTGCGATTTCTGAAATTTATTTTGCTCTTTTCGTGGCTTTTTTATTCTTTATTTGTACTTCGAAAATACTGATTTTGAAGTGAAAATTTGATTTTGTTTTCTCTGTCATTGTCTTCTTTTTTTTTAACATTAATTAATCATTATGCAGGTTTCAGTGGAAAAAATGTGACCAAGAAAGAGATCCATAGTATTTTACTTACATGTTATGCACACACAGACACACGCGAGAACACAGAAGGAGGGGGAAGGTTTTGAATGTGATTTTAGGTGTTGACTCTTTGGACCATGAATTCCGTTCTTTGCTTCATTTTTATGACCTTCGTTGAATTGTTTCTATTCCTTATTTTATACTTCTACAATCTTCTTTCTTTCATAACTACTACCTAGAATTATTATTTCTTCTCTTTTGGTTTTTTGTTTTTTTTTTTTAAAGATTCAACTGTTCTCAATTTTAAGGAGTTTATTTGATCATCAGTATCTACTTTGAAAAGAGATTGGGACCAACCAACTGGCTGATTATTAAGACATAATATGGATCATGAGTCATGCGACTAGTTGGTCTTACCTATCCTAATTCCAATGAGTCATCAGAGAGTTTCGAAGCCTTCAACGGCATATTGGAAAAGAGAATGCATTTTAGATGGTTGTGAATGGTGTAATTAAGCTATTTTCTGCTTCTTAGCTAAATAAGACATTAGTTGTTGGGTTTGGATCTGACATGGAAAGTGTCAAGAATGAAAATATTGCTTATTGACAAATGCGAGATCATGGTCAAAGTTTCTCAGAATGAGCAATATTTTCATTTCGTAATGAGCTAATTAAGTGTGAGATAGTATGGTTGAAGCACCATGATAAATCCAAATGCAATTATAACTTGAAGATTATGCCTTTTTGAGTCCTGTATAATCTAACACTAAGGCAAAATATCCACAAGTTAGTTGATTTTTCTCTATAATGTGTATTGCACTGAACAATTCTGGAATAAGGTATATACTGTATTATAATGTCTTTCACTATTACATTTTAATTTTAATATCTACTCTTTGACTTTTGATTTATTGATTTAGAATCTCTGGGCACCATTAGTCCTTTCCCTCCAGATGCTTCATCTATTGCCTCTAGCATCAAATACCATGCAGAGTTCACCCCATTGTTTTCCCCTGAGAAATTTGATCTTCCAAAGGCTTTCTTTGCAACTGCACAAAGTATTCGTGATGCTCTCATTATAAACTGGAATGCCACATATGATTATTATGAAAGATTGAATGTAAAGCAGGCGTACTATTTGTCAATGGAATTTCTACAGGTGTGCACTCGTTCTAAATTTAATACTTGATTTGCTGTGCATTACTTTGAAGATGTTATTACACAGAATGTTTTACTTTTTGCAGGGTCGAGCACTGTTGAATGCAATTGGTAATTTAGGGCTTACTGGAGCTTATGCGGAAGCTTTGAGCAAGCTTGGACACAACCTAGAAAATATAGCTTGCCAGGTTGGTTGGTATATGTATTTCTCTTCAGCATACCTTACTTTTTCACAAGTTCTGCTATTGGTATATCTTGCTCTACGTGGATTATCTTTCCTTTTTAATTGTGATTAAATGTCATTTATATCAATCAATGGGTAGCTGAAGCTTAAAGTACAAGCTACTCAACTGCTGACATTAGAATATGATTGGAGAAGATAAAAAAAAAAGACACTCTAGACTGCTCCAGAATTCAAGTATAGGTGTTTACCTTGAATTAAACGATAATTGTCGTAGTTGATGACAAATTTTCAATTTCGTGAAAGCAGCAGGCCATATAAGATAAAAGTTTATTTGAAGCCTATACCTGCTGCCTTACCGTGCCTTTGTCTAGAATATAAAATACTATCCCTGTATTTTGTGTATTTGTCAAAGAGAAAGACAAAGTGAGAGTCTGTATGCTTGCATCTATGCATGCCTTCACAGTTTTGTTATAGGATGCATGCATGCTTGCTGCTAAATTTTTTGGTTGATTTTATAGGAGCCTGATGCTGCCTTAGGGAATGGGGGTCTTGGTCGACTTGCCTCCTGCTTTCTGGACTCTCTGGCAACATTAAATTATCCAGCATGGGGTTATGGACTTAGATATAGATATGGCTTATTTAAACAGCGTATTACAAAGGAGGGGCAGGAAGAAGTTGCCGAAGATTGGCTTGAGGTATACTTGCTTTCTCTTTGTTAGCTCTCTCTTGAAGCAATCATTGTAGACACAAATTTATATATATGTCTATATGACATTTACATAATAATGTAAGTGTTTTTTTCCCTCTTGTCTCTGACCAACTTCTTTATCTTTGGCCTGATTATGGTTTCTCGTTTTAGATGAGCAATCCTTGGGAAATTGTGAGAAATGATGTCACATATCCTGTCAAGTTTTACGGCAAGGTTGTTACAAGTTCAGATGGAAAGAAACACTGGATTGGAGGAGAGGATATAAAGGCTGTTGCATATGATGTCCCAATACCAGGATATAAAACTAAAACCACAATCAACCTGCGACTTTGGTCAACAAAAGTTCCATCAGAAGACTTTGACCTATCTGCTTTTAATGCTGGAGAACATACCCAAGCAGCTGAGGCCCTATATAAAGCTGAAAAGGTCTGTTCTAATTTTCTTCATTTGTATATATTTGCTGCTGCAATTTATCTGCACATCTCTTCATTAGCCTAGCTATTTGTTGGCATGTCTTCAGAGTTTCATCAGAAAATCTGAACTGCCTGGAGCTATGTCTGGAGGAGTGTCTAAACCAAGGTTCTTTACAACTAAGGGAATGGAAGAAATTTTCTAATATGGTTATTGGTCCATCAACAGATTTGGGATTTTTCTTTTCGCTCTCATGTCTTTCAGGCAATGGTTGTGATAGACCTCCAGGAAGAGATTGCTTTTATTTTTTTTCCTTATAATTCTCAACTTATTTTTTCTTGAGGCGAGAATTGGCAATTGTTCTGCTTTTGCCCTCTTTCAGAAATCTCAAGAATTTTAAATGCATTCCTATTTGTCTCTGCATCATTGGTGTCTCGAACTGCATGTAATGCTTGTTTTGTTTTTTTCCCCCTTTGTTTTGTTGATTTTTCATGTACAATGTTGATGCCAGTGGTACAACAAGAATGGATTATAACATATGTTTTAATATTAGATTTGCTATGTACTCTACCCTGGGGATGAATCAGTTGAAGGAAAAATCCTTCGTTTGAAGCAACAATATACCCTATGCTCAGCCTCTCTACAAGATATCATTGCACGTTTTGAGAGAAGATCAAATGCGAATGTCAAATGGGAAGAATTTCCTGAGAAGGTCGCCATGCAAATGAATGATACTCACCCCACTCTTTGCATTCCAGAGCTGATGAGAATTTTGATGGATGTGAAAGGTTTAAGCTGGAAGGAGGCCTGGAATATCACCCAAAGGTACTCTGGGTCATGATTGTTTCACTTATGCATTAAGAAATCCTTACTTTATTGTTTCTTTTTGAACATATATGCTGCAAGAGGTTATTGAGAAGCTCAAACCACATTCTGTATATTCCCACATCAAACCTACCTTGCTGCTGTTCCCAAATTTTGACGAACTTAGTTAGCTATTCCAGTGTTCAATTTATTTGATGCATATGCTTATAGTAATTTTTGTTACTTGAGTTTGATTGAATTCAGCATATCTGATTGTTACCAGAGCTTTTGCATGTGTCCATTTGCACTTTCTCACAATTTACTTATTTTTAGTCTTGAATTCCTTTTGTTTGTAACTAAATGAATTTGAGAAATGAGTTTTTTAAAAAAAACCTAAAAAATATTAGTTTATCTTCTTCTTCTTCTTCTATTTTCTTTTTTTTTTCTTTTCCTATTTGTTTAATTACTGGTATCTATTTTTAATATAGGCTTATGTTCAGTAACTTTTATACCTTTTAATGCTTTCTTTCTAGAACCATGGCATACACAAACCATACCGTTCTACCGGAGGCTTTGGAGAAATGGAGTTTAGAACTTATGCAGCAACTGTTGCCTCGACATGTGGAGATTATAGAAATGATTGATGAAGAGGTACAGACGGAAAACATACATGAACCTAAACCTTCAATTTTTTGGAATGCAAATTCTAACTCTAATATCTGCCTCTTAATATCTTTGCAGTTAATTCAAACCATAGTTTCAGAGTATGGTACAGCAGATTCTGACTTACTGGAGAAAAAACTGAAGCAGATGAGAATTTTGGAAAATGTTGAGCTGCCAGCTGCCTTTTCAGATTTACTTGTTAAACCCAAGGAAAGTCCTGTTGCTGTTCCCAGTGATGAACCTGAAAAGTCTGAAGAAAAAGATAAAAAAAAAGATGATGATGATGATGATGAAGAAGAAGAAGAAGAAGAAGAAGAAGAAGAAGTTGAGCCTGTTGATGGAGAAAATGAACCTGTAAAGGAAGGCACTCAAGCAAAGAAAAAGATCCCAGAACCAGTACCAGAGCCGCCAAAGATGGTTCGTATGGCTAACCTATGTGTTGTAGGTGGTCATGCAGTAAATGGAGTTGCTGCGATACATAGCGAGATTGTAAAAGACGAAGTGTTTAATGATTTTTTTAAGGTAAATGCAATTTACAAAATTTCTCGCTTTCTTAAATTACAAAAGCATGCAACTTAATGATAAAATTGAGTTTCTTCAGTTTGTTTCTACTTAGAGAAATGATCCTAACATTGGTCTCTGTGCTCAAATTTTGGCAGTTGTGGCCTGAGAAATTTCAAAATAAAACAAATGGGGTCACACCAAGGAGATGGATCCGTTTCTGCAATCCGTTTTTGAGTAAAATTATAACTAACTGGACAGGAACAGAAGACTGGGTTTTAAATACTGAAAAGTTGGCTGAACTTAGGAAGGTAGTCTGCCGTATCTAAGTTTTTTCCTTGTAAAACTTCTTGGAGAATCATATTTGTATATTTCTGAACATATATTTGCAATTTGCCCTTTGTTATGTGATAGAAGGTGAAGTTTTTTTACGCACTCTCTTAGGTTTGTGAATGACCAGTTTTGATATGAGTTGGCAAATGTTATTAGCAATAAACTATCTATGTTGGACACACCTTTTAAAATGCTTATTTCACAAGAAAAACGGCCAGATTGCCTTTTATATCACCTTCTCCGAGCATGTCTTTCTGATTATTTCTTGTTATATACAATCCTACATCTAATATTTCTTGTTATTTTCACTGTTTAGGCAGTTGCTTGTGAAATTAAAGCGGTGGTGTTATTTCACATATGAGCTCTAGCCTCTAGGATTCTGATAGATGTGAAGCTGTTGTATCCGTGTCTTTGTATTTACAATGAGCAGTTTTTTATAGTTAAATTTGAATGACAATAAATATGTGAAAGCTTTTGGATCTTTTGGTTATAACTAAAGACCCTAATCAGTGTTGTGGGATATGTTCATAGTTTGCAGATAATGAGGACCTTCAGACCCAGTGGAGGGCAGCAAAAATGAGCAACAAGTTAAAGGTTGTGTCTTTCCTCAAAGAAAAAACAGGCTATCTAGTAAGCCCTGATGCAATGTTTGACATCCAGGTATCTCTTGTGAACTCCACTTTGGTACACTGTAATGAAAGAAGTGTGCTTATCATCAGATGGAAAATGAAAGAAAAAGGTTTATAATGTTTAACTCAATAAATGGGCTGCAGTCTGAAAAGTAAGAGCCTACAGATATTTTTTGAGAGGGGTAAGCGACCAGATTCTCTTACCACCAGAACTCAATGTTTTTAGCTCACGTTGCAGAGCATGATAGTGTGTGTTGTACAGTATTTGTATGCCATAAACATTATGAATAGTTTTAGACCTTTCTTACATTTGTTGGATGACATTAAGATCTGATTGGATGTTGATGCTCTGTTATATTCTTATTTATTTCCCCTAGTCTTGTAAAGTGTGGAACTCATTCTTTTTTATATGCTATGCTTAATTTCAGGTGAAGCGCATCCATGAATACAAGCGTCAATTGCTGAATATTTTGGGAATTGTTTACCGGTACAAGATGATGAAAGAAATGAGTGCTTCAGAAAGAAAAGAAAAGTTTGTTCCACGTGTTTGTATATTTGGGGGAAAAGCATTTGCCACTTATGTGCAAGCCAAGAGAATTGTTAAATTTATCACTGATGTTGGAGCTACAGTTAATCATGATCCCGATATAGGTGATCTACTGAAGGTATGTCTTTAATGCAAGATATCATTAATGAATCTCATAGGGAGTTCTTTCCCAAAATGAAAAAAGGGAAAAACAAGAAACGGGAGAAAGGTCCTCACAAAGTGTCATCTCTTGTAGTGTTAATTTTTATTGAGGTGTAGTGTTAATGCTTTTTAATGGCTTGTGGCACATTATTTTTTTCTAATGAGGTGTTAACTTGTCATATTGTGCCTTCTAGCCTTTTTGCTTGTCTTTCATTAAACATACATATATCCCCAATTCAAGTAACTCATTTGGCCAATAATCTAATGACTTCCAGTCTGTGAGTTGCATAATTTAGGATTTTCCTGGACCTATGCTTTTTAGTTCGCTGTCTGGGCACAAATGGGCTCTGAAACAACCAAGCTTTGGAAAAATAACTGCACTCTGAGATGAAGTTACCAATTTTTGTTTAAAACAAAGAAGCAAATTTTGAATAAATCAGTGCAGGCATATAAGGGTAACAAATGTTAGTCAGCTTGTGCAATTTGATTGAGAAGCATGCATGAATTGTTGGTTGATTGTTGCAGCTGTTATCTTTGGTGATCAAAGAGTTATCTCTGTTCTTTTTGTGTGAGCGGTGGTCTGCTGGCTTCACTGTCCCCAAACCCTAAAGTGAATAAAAAACGACAAACCTAAAGTGTCTGTATCTGATTCTAATATTATTCTGCAATGTTTGGATTCAAAAAGGAAAAGATCTTTTTTTATTTCCTGCTGTGAATTGTTGTATTAATAATTTACTCAATTTCATTGATATCATTTATCAGATGTAATGGCTTATTATGTTCTAATTTTAGGTTGTTTTTGTTCCTGACTACAATGTGAGTGTGGCTGAATTGCTTATCCCTGCAAGTGAGCTCTCACAACATATCAGGTATTTCACTTTTATTCATTGTCTGGATAATTCTTGGTTACACAATTTTTGTTTTGCTTAAATGGTAAACAAGATGCAGAAGGAGGAAATGGTTCCTAGCTTACACTACAACTCCTATTTGGAGGACATCATCTGCTTTATAACTTGGGAAGGCTTAGGCTCAATGTGCTTGATGGAGTATCATGCTTTATTTATCCTGTATTAACTTGCCTCAACTACAATGCATGAAGCTTAATTCGAGCTCAGCCTGGTGGTGGTTCTGACTTAAAATGAATCCTACTTTTTCTCTAATTTACAATGAACTCAATATATGCCTTTTCTAGGAGGCTTGTATTGCAAATTGCATAGCTGAGTAGACACTGGAGCATCTGAACCTCCCTCTGTTTGTTCTTGTTGGTTTCTCTTTAATGTACGCAGTACTGCTGGGATGGAGGCTAGTGGAACCAGCAATATGAAGTTTGCAATGAATGGCTGTATTCTGATTGGGACCCTGGATGGTGCCAATGTTGAAATACGGGAAGAGGTTGGAGAAGACAACTTTTTCCTCTTTGGGGCTGAAGCTCATGAGATTGCAGGGCTTAGGAAGGAAAGAGCTGACGGGAAGGTATGCTTGCATGGCCGGATTCTTCGGTGCCCTTTTGTGTTTCGATTCCTTATCTCTGGCCCTTTCTGTTAAGAAAGATGTTATCATGATCTATAGATATTTATTCAGTGGATAGATATTAAACAAAAGCATAGAAATATATTTAGTGGAAATTATTATGATTTCTCCTTTAGTTATGTCTCTTCATTGACCTAGCTGACTTCTTACCACAGTTTGTTCCGGATCCTCGCTTTGAAGAAGTTAAGGAGTTTGTTAGAAGTGGTGTCTTTGGTCCTTACAACTATGATGAACTGATTGGATCATTGGAAGGAAATGAAGGTTTTGGTCGTGCAGACTATTTTCTGGTTGGCGAGGACTTCCCTAGTTATATTGAATGCCAAGAGAAGGTTGATGAGGCATATAGAGACCAAGAAGTGAGTGAACCTTCTTTGTTTTTTTTTTTTTTGCATACCTTTATGTTTCACATTCTTGCATGTTTCCATCAAGAGCAGGAACCACTGCATATGTTTTTCAAATGGTATTGTAATTGCGGTGTTTTTACATGGTTTTACAGCCATCCCTTTTGGATATTCAATTTGATGCATATGATTCAGTTACAAACTAAAAAGTTTCTCATAAGTGTCCTGCCTTTTCTTTCGTACATCTCTTCATAATTTTTTCACCTGTGCATTCACAAGTATGTTTATTCTTCTGTTCCTCATGTTTGTGACTGTGGTTGTGGCAGAGATGGACAAGAATGTCAATCTTGAACACTGCAGGTTCCTACAAGTTCAGCAGTGACAGAACAATTAATGAATATGCACAGGAGATATGGAACATAAAACCTGTTGAATTACCATAAATTGCCGAGACTTTAGACCAAGGGAGTTGCCCTTTGCCGTAAGCCCGAAGTAGCTGTTCCTTTGTAATCGCATTATCATATTTTCTTTCCCATGTAAAGAAAAATGGCAGAATAAGGGTAACATTAATGTTAAAAATGTGATAATAAAAATAAAAAAAGTTGTGTTAGTGTACTGTTATGAAAGTAGCTAAACTATTTACTGTGTTTAGTTGTTTCGTGGCTAATCAACTGTCATGATTGAGAAATGGTCCATCATCTCTAGCCAAGACGTTGAAGTGGATCTTCACCTTAAGTATCCTTGAAATTTTGCCTGGTTTCTCTTAGAATGTTGAACTTGTTTTCTTGAAATTCCGGCATCCGAAGATCTGTTATTGGATTTTGAAACAATTGCTTCCTACCATAATGCCATATAATGTATAGTCTGCTGTAGCCAACAATGGTTGGAATCAGAAAATTTGCCCAGAATCCAGAGATGTTGTTCTCAGGGCCTTGTGTCTCTATGTGAAGACCCTGTTTTGAGGAAAACAGATGGGATACATGGCCGTCAGGAATGCAACATCCAAACATCTCAAGCCCTACGACATCAAAATAACAGTGATGTAGCATCAGGCAAGTAATTCATTCCTCAAAGCAGCATTACAAAGATATTGCATCACGATGTTCCAGCAGTATGCTCAATGAATTTTCATTCTATTAAGAATGAATAAAAATTTTATACAGTAGTATGAGAATCAATTGTGTAGGCAACAGTTATCTACTGTGAAAATTAGCAAGACTAGTTACATTAACATGAGAACACTATAAAGAAAACTAGTTAACTTCAATGCCAGTAGACTGTAAGTTTTGGGCTTTTCCAACCTCTGATCACAAGACTTTAAAATTTAGAGAGTAGGCAGCCACGCCGGGTGCACTTGCATGTTTCTTCACCCTAGGAGCATGCTTTTGTCCTGCAAGATTATGGCTAAAGACCGTCTCACTATTACATACCACACTGCATATACGCAGATTGTACAATCTTGGTAGTTTTCTTCGGACGCTTCTTCCAGTTGGTGTTCCCTTGAGATTGAGCCTTTTAGGGTTTGTCCATAGTGTGGAGCTTGGATTTGCAATTGCCACCTGTGGTATCCCATTGGAACTGATAGTGATACCTTGCACACATATACAAGAGATTAAATTCTGAACCACCTACTATGCATGCAAAGTTGCATTCAAATATAACTTTCATTCCTCGCATCCTTGTCTATTAGGCTTCAGCATATTCAGTTTTTCCATTGGGCAAGAAAACCAAATCATTAATACAAGACAGTAGGTTGAACCCACCCTACCGACTCTCAATTAGAAAGTGCTTGCTCACCAAAAGACATGGAAAAGCACAAAAAGAAGCAACAAAATCTGTTGCCTCTGAAATTCAACATAACCCACAAAATTCAACATAGGTGTTCTAGACCAACTTATGACAGATTTTAATAGCTTAAGACAACAAAATGATTAAACCAATGCCAATATTGGAAATGATGTAGTTCAAATAAGAAAAACACCCCTATGCCCAATCCAAACCTGCTTTCCAGTAACTGTTTGCGTTAAAGTTTTAAGCCAGGCAGGCCAGGAAGACCGACATGACAAGAAATGGCTGGTTTGACAACAAAAAACCCCTGGGTCACTTCATTATTCCCAAATCTCCTAACCCTTTCATCCAGCAACGCAAACAGGTGGAGGTGCCAGCACACGATACTTTGAGCAAGTTATAGATGAGGTTTTGGTTCAACTTACTAATTCAACAAGTTTTGGTTCAAAATTTCAACTCAACTCTTCCTGAAACCACCAACACATCTCAGTTCGGTTGGATCATTTACTCTTCTTCAGTTTCTAAATATACCAAACATTTTCTAATATTATTCCTCGGCAAACGAATAAAGATTTATCCTTCATTCTCATTATGAACAAGTCTAGTTTCTGTCACTTTGCTACACATTCAACAGACCAGCTTAATTCCACACACAGTGTTCTTGTATTAAAAGATTTTCAACAACCAACTTCACCAAATAATCCAAATTTGCTAGAAAACCAAAAAAAAAAATATATACCTTAAAAGTTCAAACCATTTCATACCTAAAACCAAAACTTTGCAAAAAAAAAAAACATAATTTATAGAAGAAAAAAAAACTTAAAAGTTCCAGAACAGGCGGCAGGGTCAACTCCAAATAGCCTCATAGCTTCTTTAAGTGCCCACTAATGAGCATCATTGGGAATTGAATAGTACCCTGAAGAAACATCAACCGTCAGGTTTCGATCAAAAGGCAAAGAACCATGGGCATCAAAGGAACAAATCCCCTGAGGGTATGAGCTTAAGGAAGCAAAAGAATCAACCTCAGGTGGCCTCATGACTGGTTCAATGGAGGACAAATCATGGGTTTTAGGGTTAGGGTTTTGAGACTGATGCTGGAAAAGGGAATACAATTTTTTCTTTTTCGAAAAATTGGATTTATGAAGTGATAAATAGTTAATGCCAACATTTTGCCAGTGAAAATGTGAACTGCCAAATTTATTGAGCAAGATTTGTGAGATGAATCCTTGAAATTGAGATTCTATGTTCGTAATAAAGCAGAAGCAACTGAAGGAATTGCTATGTTTTGCTGTATCCTAGTGTAATGCTAAGGCAGTTCCAAGGTTGTCACTTGTAAGAGAATTCATTCCAGTTTGTTACTGCTATGTATGGAGGTAGAAAGACCATCAGGTCTAGCTAGCTACATTTGGATTCTGGCTGAAGTGTTGGAAATAACACCATATTGGGTTGTGTTTTTTACCTTGGATAAATTTGCAAGGTATGCACATGGCCTGACCAAGTAATTTAGTGGTAGCATACATAATCATGAGGTTAACATCATCCTTTTTCTAATCAGACACATTTTGTCTCTCGATTTGATTCCCTCTTCTTCCATTCTTTCTGTCACACGCAACACTGAGAAGCAAACAAATAATGTACAACTTAAGTTACCGTGAACTGACCCAAGTGAACAAGCCAGGCCTATTGTTTCAGACACAACCTGGTGGGTTTTTCAACCCAGCTCGGTTCAGATTCAAGCAGCCAGATTATGTGTAGTGGTCTAGTTCAGTCTGCAAGTGTCCATGTTGGTTTCAGGATCCGGGCTCAATCATTTTTCACATGTTTAGCTGAATTTGTGTCAATTAACCTTTCCAACTTTTACCTTTCCTAGCACACAGTTTCTAACCCGAGGTTGATTTCGTTCCTTAATAGCTAAAGGCAAATGGCTATCTGCTTTGCAGCCGGGCTAAGACACAGAAGCAATCCATATTTGTTTTTTAAATATTAATCTCATCAAACAACATATATATATAAAATTGTCATGTTAGGTGGCTAACAAGTAAAATTGCTTTCATTCCATGTTTTGTTACATTCATCAGGCTACTGAGATTTGTACAACAGGAAAACAAAATCTAAATTTCTTCTATTCTTCAATGTACGAGACAGAAAAATGACAGACCAAAAATTGACAACGTTCAATCAAGATATAGGCAAATGTTTCTGCCAACCAACTCCTTCTGAGTTAAAAGGGTGAAAAGAAAAATCCTATTACAGGATCGGAACCCCAAAGAAAAGCATCAATGACCTTCGCCATACCAAGAATCAGTTAAAAGACGGTAAGCTACATGTGAGTGAGTGAGTGCAAGTTTACGCTAGGGGCACAAAGGTCCTGTCTCCAACATGAATTACCATTGGAACTGGAAGAAAAGCCACCACTGTCTGTACACTCTGGGAAATTTGAAAAAATGGTTTCACCTTTCATCAGTTAGCAACTAGACTGACTAGAGGCTCACTCTTGCAGTCACTTCCAACCCGACATGACTTGAATCCAACATCACCATTAGCCTCTTCATTGTGTATAGCAGGGAGATTAAGATCAAGTACATCAGAGATATCAGAAAAGCCTATTTGCATTGGAGGCTGTTTGTCTCTGGTTTCAGACTCTTTCAAGATATGAGACCTCTTGTGACCACCCAAAGCTTGCCCTGATGCAAAAACCTTAAAGCAGATTCCGCACTCGTGCACCTTACACCTACTTGTTCCATTACTTGTCACCCCATTTATTTCCTGCTCGACTGAATTCTCAACATTCTCAACCCTCAGAAATTTGCGACTAGCCTCAGTTTTAGGAGAACTGCTACTCTGGGTGCTTTTCTCACAATTCTCAATCTGCTCTATAGCACAGCTATTACTCTTTCTGTGGAATGTTTGGTGACCACCTAGGGCTTGATGAGATTTGAAAGTCTTGTCGCAGATCCTGCACTTGTATCTGTTCTTTTTCTTGGAATCATCAGACATTTCAGAATTCAATGGAGTACATATTAGCTTGTTCGAAGAATTTCCTCCTGGTTCAGCGTCACAAGCATCAAACATGGCATCTTTGCAAGAACTCAACTTTGTGGATCCCAAACCGGCTAAATCCAATCCTTCCATCAAATCCTTCCCTGATTCTACTTCAATAGACCTGAAGGTCATTTTTTCACCTGAGTTTCTTTCCTCAATTTCGGTAGCATACAATTCAAATCCAGATTCATCTTCCACCTTAGACACCCTGAATTCAACATCCCTGCAGAACATGTCATTAGGAGCTTCTGATCCAATCTTTTCTTCCTTATCAGTCACAATCCCAGAATCCAATTCTTTACATTCACTTATTGTCTTCTCATAGAAAACATTCATAGAAGCTGAAACATCAGGATCAGACTTATCCACTCTTGGTTTCTTCATCTGGAAAGACTCATCGCCATCACCAAAAGGAATCCCAGTTTCGTTCTGTATAATTTCTTTACTTTGATGCAAAGATTTAATCACAGAATTATCAGAAGACTCCCTAGAAGAATTGAATTCACTCCAATTCCTTACACCCCCAGACAGCATTATCAAGCATAAAGCAACATCTTCCACTTCTTGATCAATTTCAAATACATCAGAAGTTTCATTCAAGCTAGAAGGTGAAGAATTTGGAGCATTACTGTACCTCATTCTTTTTGATCTCTTTCTCCTCACTGTTATGCTCTCCAAGACCAGGTCTTGCCTTGGACCACAAGGCCCTGGTTCACCTGAGACCCCAAGCTTTGCAGGGTGTAACCTCATATGAGCAGCAAGACCCTTCAAAGACTGAAACTTCCTGCCACATTCTTGACAGTGAACTCTTTTCCTTTCTCTCCCAGAATGGTGCCTCATATGACCAAACAAAGCTTTCATTGACTCAAAATCTTTTCCACAAAATTTGCACTGAAACTTCAGCATTGAACTAGAACTACCATCAGTAAAGCTTAAGGATTTCCAGGATTTCTTGGGGTTATCCCTCAAGCCATAACCTTGAAAATCCATATTCTCCTTTGCCTTTCCTTTACCCGAATTCCTTTCCATTGAAAAAACTCACGTCTTGTTCTCTACCGCACAATGCAGCTAAGCATAGAAACCAGATTAAAAACCCCAGCAGAAACCACAACTATCAAAGAAGCGCAAGAAACAGAGGAAACCAAAAAAAAAAAAAGCGGAAGACCCAGATCAAAAAGAAGGTTCTTTCAGTAAAAAGAGATGGAAAATCTTGAAACTATATGTAAGTAAAGAATCCGTATCCTGTTTTGTTAACCTGGTGGGGTTGAAAGCGTTAAACAAGATCTAGGTGGCTAAAGAACCCTCAACAAAAAGTGGGTTTTGACTCTTTTGTTGTGTATTCTTCACTGTGTTGTTTATACTAAGCAAGCAGAGGATCAAACTGAAAGGGAGACTTTTTGTTAAGTAGCTGTTGCTTTTTTTTGCAGTAGTGAGCAAGAAAAAGACACGAGAAATGAAAGGAAAACAGAGAGAGAGAGAGAGAGAGAGAGATTTACTTCTTGAAATCCTTGCATGTCAAGCAAAGCTACAGAGGTTAACAGGGCTTGGGAAGAGCCTTATATTCTCTCCACTACATAATCGAACTGCCTAGCACACGGATAAAAAAATTAAAAAAAAAAAATTGACAACAATACATAAATGATAGGAGAACCAACAAAATACAATTCACTTGTACTGATTTCGTTTTTGTTTTGGTGTTTGTGATTTATTTTAAATTTATGTTAAAAGTAAAAATTTGTGAAAAGAAAAGTGATATTATAAATTAAATGGTTAATTATATAATTAGTCTCTATACTTTATTAAAGTGATAAATTTGGTTCTTATATAATCATTTATAAAAATTAAATTTTTATACATTTTAAAATTGATAATATCAATTCAGTGTGTTAAATTTTTTTATTATTTATATTGATATTACGTTGACGTGATTTTTTTTATTGATATAATATTAAATTTAATTAAATGATAAAAATAAAATAACATTTTACAAATGATACAATAATAGTACTGGCATGACATATTGCCATGGAATTTGTAAATGCAAACATGAAATTAACCAATTTGAGCTAATAGTTTTAAACAAGATTGAAAAAAAAATATTAATAATATGAACAAATTTATGAAATTTAAGAAAAAAGTGTTATGAGATAAAAAAGAATTGAATTTTTGTGCTTTATAATTTAAAACAAAGAAAATAATGATGTGAAATAGATAAAAAATGTGATATTATCGTTAACACATTATAATATTTAATGTCACATCAATAAAAATATCATATTAATATAAATAATAGAAAATTTTAAATACTGTTAATGATGGGATTAATACTGTCAACTTTAGAAAGCATAAAGATTCGATTTTTACAAATTATTATATAGATATTAAATTCACTACTTTAATAAAGTATAAGGATTGATTTCATAATTTAACCTTAATTAAACTATAATTTAGGAAGAGATTTAGGATTTAAAATTTCATCTTTTAATAAGTTTATTAATTACATGTACGCTACATGGTTTTCTCATAAAAAAAGAGTTTAAATTTAGTAGAAACCATTTTTTTATCATAAAATTTTTATAATTAATGTAATACTTATTAAAATTTATTATTTTTTATAAATATGATTTTAAAATTTAATTTATTTTTTATGAATTAATTTAATTTTATTAATAATATATAAAAATTAATTTTAAATTTAGTTTAATTGGATATTTAACGGGTATGAGTATTTAATGAGAAGTGTTTTTGGATAATAATTTCAAATTTTAAATAAAATTTTATAGGATTCGGGTACCTTATCAAATCATCGAGTTCAAATTAAAAGATACTTAAAAAATAATTAATAGCTCCCTTCCAATCAAAAGTAAGTAAAAAAAGAAAAAGTTAATTTAAGAAGTTAAAATGAAACCACATTGTAAAAGAGTTGTGATTAAGAAAAGAAAGGTGGTGAGATTATTAGATAAGTGAAAACTATCAAGAACATCATCAACTGTTAGGATTATCCCATCAGAACCTTTCTCCCATCCATTGTCCTACTCTCTTACAACTTTCTTCACATAGAAAAGAGTAGCAATCAAGTGGTGCCCAAAGCAATTTTTGTTTTATTAATGGAAATTGGAATGTGGGATGATTGGTTAACTTTGGGAAATTAGGTTTCATTTTATCAAATGTGAGATTTGACCTTCAACAAACTTCATCCTTGAGGTTGCCTTCATTTCTTCTTCTTCTTCTTTTTTTTTTTGAGCTTTTAACCATTTATTCTATTTTGATGGTAGATTAATAATGGGAATACTTGTAAATGGTGAAGCTCCTATACAATATTACTGGGTTCACCTCAATTGAACTCAAGTCTTTAGTGGTTACATGAATCAATGTTGAGCAATTCTTGAGTTTGGCTCTACCTTTCCATTGAAAGAGCTTTGGTTTGGTTTTGCTTTGTTTATATTATATCTTCATGTCATTAAACTCATTATGAAGAGTGGTTTGAAATTCTATATACATCACCAACCCTTGATTAGGACCTTAATTATTTTACTCATAAGGATATGAAGATCTGTGGGCTTCTTAATTTGTTATTTTAATCTAGTGGGAGACTTTGCTGCTGCTGCTACTAAATCCTCTTGGCCATCTGCTATTAACAGGCTGGCCAAACATGGATCAGATCAAAGAAACAGGTCTGGTTGGCCACATTCAGGAACCAGGATAACCTACCCTATCATTGCATCAACTTTTGCCTAAAGGCTTATTTTCATATATTTCAAAGAAATAACTTGTGAGTTGCTACCGAATGTTGTTGTAACATCTCAATTTAGCAAATAGAAGAAGAAAAACAAATGAAGGTTAAGAAAGGAGTGATAGTAATGCATGAGAAGAATGTGGCTAGGAAGTCATATACTACTATTTGTAGGGTAAGAAATCCCACATGTTTTCATTAAGTTTTGTTTTGACATTACCCATTGTCTACAATCTTCACTTAAGACCGTCCAAATTGATGCTTAAATTGGACAACTTGACACCTTGCATGAGAAAAGTTGGCTACCCATTGTCTTATACCCTCTCACATCATTAAAATGAAGATAAAAACCCTAACTTTTTTTTGTGTGGTTGGTCAGTTAATCTAAGTCATCCATCCCCCATTTACCCACATCCATTGAAGGGAAAAAGAATAAAACACAAACGAAATTTTTACCACATGATGGCTAATCTTATCATAAGTATGCCATCAACTGCTTACCAGATAATGAGCTGAGCTAAGCTAAGCTAAGCTAA